TGAAGCTTGAGTGACATGTGGACAATAGCTATACATAGCTCTTTTTTTTTTCTAGGTTGTAGTTTTCGAGTCAGTAGTGTGGAAGAGGGTCAGGCGGTTGAAAGAAGTAAAGGTGTTGTGGTGGTTATGTGCTAATTGCTGGAGCCATTTTTAAACATTGAAGCTTGAGTGACATGTGGACAATAGCTATACATAGCTCTTTTTTTTTCCTTTCTAGGTTGTAGTTTTCGAGTCAGTAGTGTGGAAGGCGGTTGAAAGAAGTATGTGCTAATTGCTGGAGCCATTTTTATTGGGAATCCATCTTTTTATTTCTCTTCCTTGCCTTCGTCTTTGGATGGTGATTGTCGAAAAGAGAAGCCGTGGGAGGAGATGCACAGACTTTGAGACCTTGTTTGTCTTGCCTGCAGGACAATGCGATCCCATTATCATCTCTTCGATGGAATCTGAGTGACTGCGAGGTCCAGTTGCTGGCTGGACCCCGAGTTCGTGGATCAGCCAAACTATTATGTTGTAACGGGGTTGCTTTTCTCTCATTTATACTGTGTGAAGTCAGTTATTTGATCGATAGGTTGGAAGGTATGTTCTTTCAGGGGATCCCCCTATTTGAAGAAGTCGGAAAAAAAGAAGGAATAAAAGTTCTAAAGAGGCATCGCTGTGGAGGGGGCAAAGCTTCTTGTTCTTCAGTCAACGTGAGATGAACATTTGACTGGGAGATTCATACTTACAGTTGGTTTGACAGCTTTTCTTCAACGAGTAGGTATAGGAGGGAGTGGAGAAGAGAGAGTCAAATGCGTAATCGTGCACTACTATGACATGAGAGAGGGAGAGAGGGGGAGGGGGTGGGTGGGAGACGCTTGCCCCAGAGAGAGAGAGAGAGAGAGAGAGAGAGAGAGAGAGAGAGAGAGGATGGTTGGAGTCCATTATTTGACAAGGAATGGCAGGAGCACTGCATGCAACGGAGGCATTCGAAGAGGTATTGTAGAAGTAATATGAACGTGTGGGCGGACGTGTTCTAGTCTTCCATCTTTCTCATGTGCTTGTGATGTTCAGCGATGTGGTGTGCCCTTTCTTCTGAATCGTGAATTGCACTACTTGCCCGACAGTGAACAGAGAATGTGGACAAGACATGGTTAATGTTGCGCACAGGATAACAATAAGGCCTTCAGTGCCATATCAACCTCACAAGTCTCCTCTCTATTGCAGCTAGTCCTTCCTAAACCACCAGTAAATCCCAGCCTCTTTTGCCGAGGCGGATTCCCCTTGCGCGCCAAGCTTTGCCGAAATGCCAGGGTGGGGCTTTGGTCCGGGGGCCCCGAGCCTCTGAAGTTCTTGGAACGACTCCTTTTCAATTTTCAAGTTTGCCTGGGCGATGATGTACTGGCGGTTAGAACGCTGACCTACGCTCCCACCCACATTTTCTTAGTTTTCCTAGATGCATCTATTTCTTGACCCCCCTGTTCAGCACTGTTGAAGCTAATATTTTGCAGGAGAAGTAATGATGGAGTGGTGGCGGCGGTGCCTGCAGGGGCCTGTGGATTATTCATGATAGGCGGGCACTCAACTTTGCTGAACGTAGGCGGTCGTCAACTTCTCCTCTGCATGGGTGCGCTTGATGACTAGAGTCATGTGTCTGCTGTCGTACTATGTTGTTGCATTCATGGGGGCCGGGATAAACAGCACCTTTTCTGGCGTTTCGCGGGTGGGGAAAAGCAGCAGAACTGGTGTGCTTTGTTCTCTGTCGAAGTATGGCTGTGGGCCTGCTTCATGATCTTGCATAAAATTTCTGAGTTGCATGCAGTGCTTGAGTGGGAGTATGGTGCCGGAAGTCTGCTATGTTGGGTAGCAACAGAAGCAAGATCTGGTCATCTCTCAAGGTACGGTTCTCAGTGCAGGATTCCTTCCTTCCCCTCCAGTGCCCCACACAGTAGGGTAGACGATAGGTGATCCGGGTTTCACATGCCAGACCGCGGAAGTCTCCCGATCATCTGATCATCTGGTTGCGGTTTTAGAGTGCATGATATGTCCAAAAGACAGTCGTACCTATGTTTGATTGGAAATGGCAATATGGGAAGAAGGGACGGAAGGTGGTGTCAGGAGATTGGGAAGCAGTTGTTCACTATTTTCATGACGGAACAGCATTGGTCGAGCACTGCTCGCGGTCTTGGTTGTGGGATCAAAATAAGCAGCAGAAGGCTAGGAGTAGCTGTCGGTGATGGTAGCAGTTGCTTGAACGTGCTTCTTAAAACCATTTCTCGAGTCTTGGTTACCACCCGCACAGTGCACTGTGCAGTTTTTTGCTGTGTTAATATCCGGACCGCCCGGCAGCCTGGCCTTCGTCTGGTAGGGCTCCCGGGCGGGCCGGCCGGTTGGGTCACCCGGTTGGGCACCGGGCGGGCCGAGCGCAATTTCGCGTGCAGTGGGTTAAAGGCTTTTTTTGGCCAGTGGCGGCCTCCCCAGCTGCCTAGTGCTTGAATTTTTTCTTTTTTAACGACTTTTAGCCACTTTCAAAGTTTTTAGGGCTACAATCCCGCATTCAAATTCGAACGGGGGATTGTCCTTCCCGCTGACGAAGTTCGAAGCCCAGCCGTCGTCATCGACCTGCCCATCGTCATCGACCTGCCCGTCGTCATCGACCTGCCCCTGTCCCGTCGTCATCCAGGTGCCCTCCACGCGGAGCCGACGTCCTCCTCCTCCTCGCGCGGAGCTCGCATCGTGCTGTCCGTTGTCGAGCTTCCACAATGTCGTCAACCTGCCCATCATCGAGGTGCCGACCTCCTCCTCCTCGTGCAGAGCTCCCATCACGCCGCCCGTCGTCGACCTGCCACGTAGTCCTCTATCTACCCATGGTCGAGGTGCCGACCTCCACCTCCTTCTCGTGTGCAGCCGACCTCCTCCTCTCGTCTTCTTCTTCTTCTTCACTCCTCCTCCTCCTCCTCCTCCTCCTCCTCCTCCTCCTCCTCCTCTTCTCTCCTCCTCATTTCATCTTCTTTTCTCTCCTCCTCCTCCTCCCCCTCTCGTCTTCATCTTCTTCTCTCCTCCTCATTTCATCTTCTTGTTTTGCCTCCTCCTCCTCCATCGGCCTTCTTTTTTTTTTTCCCCCTCGTCATCGCCAGAGACAACCGGCACCTCCTCCTCCTCCTCCTCTGGTCTTCTTCTCCTCCTCTCCTCCTCTTCCGCCTCATTTCGTCTTCTCTTCTCTCCTCCTCCACCTCTCGTCTTCTTCTTCTCTCCTCCTCATTTCATCTTCTTGTTTTCCCTCCTCCTCCACCTTCATCGGCCTTTTTTTTTTCTTTTCCCCTCGTCGTCAGACAATCGGGAGCTCCTCCTCCGCGTCCTCCTCTCGTCTTCTTCTTTTCCGCCTCCTCTTCCTCCTCCTCCTCATTTCGTCTTCTTCTCTTCTCTTCTCTCCTCCTCCTCCTCCTTCTCCAGCGGCCTTCTTTTTTTTCTCGTCATCGCCATACAGTACTGGCAGCTCCTCCCCCTCCTCCTCCTCGTTATTCTCTCCTCCTACTCTTGTCTTTTTTTTTTGAAGTCTGCTTCTTCTTTCTCCTCCTTTCCTCCTCCTTCCTCCCCTCCTCCTCCTCCTCCTCCTCCTCCTCTCGTCTTCTTCTTCTTCCTCCTCCTCGTCCTCCTCCTCCACCACGTCCTACTGCCCGCCATCTCCCATTCCTCTTTTTTTTTTTTTTCTGCTCGAACAATAGAAGGGAAGCGGGCAAACTGCAGTTCTTCTCCTCTCCTCCTCCTCCTCTTCCCCCTCCTCCTCCTCCTCTCTTCTTCTTCTTCTTCTTCTCTCCTCCTCCACCTACTTTCGTCTTCTCTTTCTCTCCGCCTCCTCCTCCTCCTCCTCCTCGTCCTCCTTCATCGTCCTCTTATTATTATTTTCTTTTTCCGTCATCCCCATACACTACCTGCAGGCCCTCCTCCTCCTCTAACCCCTCCTCTCAGCCGACTGGCTGCTGCAACACACCCTTTTACTGGCAGCCTCCTCCTCCTCTAACCCCTCCTCTCAGCGAACTGGCTGCTGCAACACACCCTTTTACGGTTTTTCCCCTTGACAACCCCCCCCTCCCCACACCCCCCCTCCCCCAACACACATGCCTTTCACAAGTTTCTCTGCGGATTTGGGCTCCTCTCAGCAAGCGCAGTCCAACCCCATCTTAAAAAAAAAAAAAAAATCCTGGGACGTTTTTTGGCTCGTCTGTTTTTTCCGGACGGACCCCCCCCGTCCGTCTGGACCGGGCGTCAGCCTAACGCTGTTTTTTTGGCCTATTGTGCCTTTGTAGTGGATGAAATAACTACATTATTGTATGGTTGTCATGCTCTTCATTTGTCTCCACTGCCCAATGTTTGTCAGCGGAGTTGTTACAAGATTCTTTTCCCTCTTCAGGATTGAAACTTTTGGTAAAGTTGGACTCTATGAAGATGACATGGAACAAAACTTTTTTGTTGTTTTTTAAGAAAAGAACCTGGTTTGATATTGTTGGTTAAGTGGGAACACTTTTGCAAAGGTGAAGAAACAATGTCTGGAAATGACTCTGGATGAAGGGTTGGTGACGGTTGGGACTGATGGTAGTTAATAGTGACATGATGTGTGGAGCTGTTTTGTAATCGAGGAACATTATTGCTATATTTGGCAGTTAGTAAATTGAGATGTTGAATTTGTTTTATCATGGTCCACTTTGACGATGGCGGCATTGAAGCAAAAATCATGTGGTGTTTGTTGTTATGAGCTTGTATAGATTTTTATTATGACTACGTCTGTGCTGCGATGTTTATCACTGCAGGGAATCAGGGCGTACTCTCACTAGGGCTTTTTTGACGACTCTGTGGACGTAATGCCAATCAGATACATGCAGGACGGGCTGAAATTGCAGTCACAAATTCATCCAGGAAAGTCCTAGTGCGAGCATGCCCTCGAAGTCGTTGCTCTCTGAACAACAGACGATTGTTTGGACGTTTGACATCTGCCAAGTACCTCAACGGGCTTGTGTTGCACTAAGTCAATAATGTGGCGTCTCTGCTATGTATCGCCTCGATGTTGGATGTTCCCTTGCTCGTATCCGAAGGACCAAATGTCTCCTTCCATAGTTGTTTGGAATGCTGAGCATAAGAGGCCCATCTAGCCTCCCCTGAATTTGGGGCCTGCTTGCTCTACTTGCCCTATCTTCCTGTTTTGTCAGCTAACGAACTCCATGCCCATCGACTTCAGTTTTATAGGGCCAAAGACGTCCATGACTGCAGACTTCAGCTCTGTGCTCGTTGAGGACGGTCCCATAGCGGTAATTTGAACAGGGCACAACTGAGGCCTGCCACTGGTTATAGCATCAATAGGGCGCCATTGAGGCCTGGCCGTCAGTACTAACACATGTCGCTCAGGTAAAGAAGACCGCTTTTGTTGTAGGTGGACAGGCTTCATTGAGGCAAAAACTGGCTGCGTTGCTCTTCACGAGGGGCGGTGGTCAGCACCTGGCTGAATTTGCTCGTTACATTCATTTTTCATGGTAGGAGGAGATCTTGCCCGACTGTTTTTTGGGTAGATGCTACCGTCTTCCCCTGGACTCAACACACCCTCGTTATGAAAACATATCCTGTATATATTCATGACGAGGATGCGTTGTGTTCAGGCGAAGACAGTAGTCTGTCTGCTCTTCGGTTTCATGTTGTTTACATTTCTCGTCTTCCATTCGGACCACCCTGAACCCCCCTCCTTTTTTATGTCTTTTTGTGCGTGTTCTTTTGGAAAATTTGCATATTACCCCTGAAAGTTATGGTGTTTCCTGTGCTGGGCAGGTGCGTAGCTGCCTCTGCCCGGTCCCCCCACAGTGGCAGGTAGGGGGGCATCCCTCGTGAAATCCAGGTGGGTCCAAAGCAGGGCAAGGATCCTACAAATGCTTTTTTTTGGACTTAGAGGCCAGTGCGAGGATCTGGGTCCTCGGCAGGCCTAAGGGGCCCCGGTTGCAGTGGTGCCCGCCCTAAGTGAAGGCGGGCCTAACTTATCACAAAAGGCCTTTGACTGTCAATTTCATATTTGGGGTCCAGGCAGTTGCGACATGCCAGTTAGTTGAGTGAAACACAGGCCGAGCAACCAAGACATTTCCACGGCCTTCTGGGCCTCTCCGAAGCATGTAGGCCCTGGACGAGAAACACAGCCTCATACACTGACAGTTGGGAGGCCCAACCGAAAGAGGCCCAGTAGCTGCAAAGTAGCACGCAGCATCCTGGGGCCTACCGGAAGCTTCTGGGGCCAAGCCAAGTCCAGCCAGGCTGCGAAGCAGGCAGGCTCTTTCCATATAGGAAAGAGCTCGCCACTCTCAGCCGCATTCAGGCACTCGCATGCTAGCGGCAGCACTGCTGGAGCAAAGGCTCGTGGGCTGCTGCTGGCACTGAGAGGCGAGGTGCAGCATGTGCGGTCGTGCAGGGAAGGAGGGCGCTGCTAAGGGCAGCGCCATAACCCATCCACCATAGCTGGTGGGTTTGGATTACAGTGAGGCGTAGGGGTGGTCTTCCGGTGTACAACAAGTGAAGACGTGGGAGAGAGTCAGGGAAGAGAGAAGGATGATGATGATGATGATGTGAGGGCACATACCTGGTATTGGTGATGGTTCTGCATGGGCGACATCTTCAAGTACTTCGGGTGCTGCTGACGTCAACAGTTGCATTGTCAATTAGTAGGCTAGTAGTAGCTGTGTAGGGAGTAGGCTGGGCGCCGAGCGCCAGATAGGGAGATAGAGGCTGGACACATATGTTGGTGGTGGCGAGAGTAAGCTCTCATTGACATTGGCTTTCAGTGATACTATTCTCCATTGGTGTTATATTGGTGCAATGCTACTTTCTGAACACTGTGTTACGATTTGGCTTTCAATGTGATTGTGCGATCTGAATATTGTCATCTCGCTTCTGTTCATTTTCCTTGTAATTTGGTATCGGAGCTGGTTCATATTGCGCTTCATTGGTTCTTCGCAATTGCAGTTCGGTGCTTCGCATGAGGTGTGGGGCAGTTATAAGGCTTGGGCATTGAACATAAGGCGGCCCAGGGTCGTGTGGGCGCATCAGGAAGCTATGTGGTGACATACGGGGTGTATGCTGGATGATGAGAGCTCGCTGATGTGACATATTAAGCCGAGGTGGAACTGCATTCTGCTGTTGGTTGTGCCAAGGCAAAGACCTGTCATCATAAATGCACACCAGGTTGCCGACGAGAAATCTGTGGTTGGGGGCAGCATTATGAGGTGCGTTGCTCTCTTCCTTATCTACCCTCTTCATTACTTCTTACCGTAAGGAAGTGAATCTTGTCTTCAGAGTCCTCTCGATGTGAGGTGTGACGAGCCCTCAACCTTGAGAGTCGACATTCTTCCCGGGCAGCAAGCTGGTGGGAGACGGGCGAAGCCTCTGAAGGGCCCTGGACGAAGCACTCGGGTCACGGTCACCATGCCAACCCGCTGGGACTAGTACACGCATGCTTTGCCGCAAGTCTTTGGTTCTGCTGCTTGCGCAATAGAGGTCATGCAGGGCATGCCAGCCCTTTGAACAGACGCTTACCAGACCGTCTTTAAATATTTCTGGCGGGGACTCGGTGTTGATTCTGGTTGTGATCGTCGTCCTGTCTGCGACGTTAAATAATTCTTGAGGAGTTACGGGGGCTCTCCTTAAATGCCTCCTGATCAGCCAGATCAAACTGGGTGTAAGGCTCGTTGCATGCGAGGGTAAATAATGTGCAAGGGCTGGCAGGTTCTGCGTCTGCGTTGACTTGGGGCACAGGGGTGGGACGGATTGCACACCTTCAGACACGTTTCTCAACCAGATGCTCAGGACTTTGACACAAAATGACAA